GTATTAACAGATCCAGATGCTCATTTCTTTTCATTGTATCTTGTATCAGCAAATCTGTGCTAAAGCTACTATTTTAAGGGACACTTTGCAAAAAGTTATAAGTATTGTTAACTATATTCGTGCAAATGCAACACCACGTCGTCAGTTTCTTAACATGCTAAAGCTGAACGATGAGGTATTCAGTGTGGATTTGCTGTATCATTCTAAAGAGCATTGGCTATTGTAGGGACAGGTGTTAGCAAAAGTTTCATCTCTGCAAGAACAGACAGTTAAATTTTATGAAGAACAGAATCAGCAATGTGAATTATTGAAAGAAGATTTCTAAAGGAATGCAGAATATCTATATGATATCTTATAAAATCAAAACAACATGAATATTTCTTTGCAAGGTAAAACTAAGTCTATATATGATATGTGGCTAAAAATCCAAGCATTTCATAAAAAGCTATCTTTTTTCAAAACACTTCTTTAAGGAAATTTTGGATGAACATTTTCCCCAGTTAGCAAAGGTCATTGATGAGGAGGATGATATATGTGAATCATTTGAAGAATATGCAGCAGTTATAGACCTATTAATTGGAGAATACAATGAAAGATTCACTGACTTTGAGAATCATGACATCACACTCAAATTAGCATTTCGGCCTCACCTAGTTGATACTACCAAGGCACTTAAAGAATTACAGATGGAATTGAATGAGCTCTCATTAGATGACATTTTAAAGTCATTGTTTGATGCTAAGAAAGATCCAATTGCAATATGGAAAAATGCAGTAGAATACCCATGCCTTCAGCAACGTGCCTGAAAAATGCTTTCTTGCTTTTCAACCACTTATTTCTGTGAATCTACGTTCTCCTACCTGACCCAAATCAAGATGCTCTTAAGGTCACAAATGACTAATACCCATCTAGAGGATCAACTGGAACTTCCAACCTCCATGCTGCAACCAAATATTCAAATGTGTCTGATAAAAAGCAGACACAACAAAGTCATTAAAAGGTTAGTTAACTGTAAAATTAACAAATAGTTTTCATTTTTTAAAATTATCAAGTACATAGCAGTTAGATTTTTACAAAATAATATACATTTTAAGCATATCTAATTGAAGTTTCTTGAATGCAGCCTTATTTGATTATAGCTGAATTAATGAGGCCTTCCAACACGAAAAGGTTCCCTGTCCCTGATCTAGACTATATAAAATCTTTTAAATAAGAAAACAAACGACTCAATTTTTAAAAGGCATAAAAGAGCCAACTGAAAGGGCTTCCAGTGGCTACAGCTGGAACAATCTGAAAAACAAAATAAATAAAG